AAAAAAAAAAAAAAAAACATATTATATTCAAAAAAATTGAAATAAAAATTTATTATTTATACAATAATTTTGATATTTAGGAGACAATGTAATTGTTAAAAAATCTAGCCGATCTTGGCTTTAGGCTCAATAATAATGTTGGTGCTAAGTCTTACAAACTTTTATGATGTTTGGATCAATAGAGTTGGACTTTAGCTCGTTCATGAATAATCTATCTACTAGTATATAATTAGACAACACATCTACTAAAAGTATAAAGTTTTTTAATGGATCCCATTAAATATTACTATAAATGGAAAGTTGTCAGCATATTTGCCAGACTGTTTCAAATGTAGAGTGTTTTTCTACTTCAATTTTTTTTGGTTATTTCAAACTATTTTTAATTGTTTTTGATAAGTATAAAACGAATTGCAATGAGTTAGTTATAATGTACATTAAATATTAGGTTAAATTTAAACTCTTCCTAAAAAATATGATGAGACTTATATAAAATATTAGGTTAAATTTAAATTTTTCCTAAAAAAGGTGATACGACATAAAAATTCTATTGCATCTATACAATTAACAAATAAATTTATTATTAATATAAAGAAATAATTTTTTATATGGGGATGTGTTGATTCATTTTTTTCTTCAATATGTTTTTCCTTTTTTTTCAATTTATATATCTTTTTTTCATAAAATTGATCTAAAATTTTAATTATAGCTTGTGTTAAATTCATTTTTCTTCTTTTAAAAAATGTAAAATTTTAAATATGTAACCTCCCATTAAACTGGCTTTGCACAGATGTGGGTTTGAAGATAGGGAAGGTCTTTAAGCATACGAGAAATGTCTCAGTTATAAAAGCTGGAGGGCACAGAGGCAGTTTTCTCAGGATGCTCGTGGTGGTTGATGTCTCTGAACCTCTCCCGCGGTTCGCGAATATGAAGCATAATAATACTCAAGTCTTGGCCAGGTTCCAGTATGAAAAATTAGTGAACACATGTTTCTATTGTGGAGTTATCGGGCATTTGGAGAGATCTTGTAAAAAGAAAGAGGCTGATATTTCTAATGGAGTCCAAAAAGAAGGACAATATGGTGAATGGCTCAGAGCTGCTGATGGCAACTTTGGTTACAAATCTTATTCGCCTCCTAACACCCGAAGCCAATCAGACAACTCTCCAAACCACACACCTGAGACTAGTCATGAAAAAGAGAAGGACAAGACCTTGCAAACCTCAGTGGGCAGCAGAAGCCATATTAACTCCTCTGGAAGACAGTTGCAGAATAATCTAAACCAGGCAGAGGAACTCAACACTCAGTATGAGCTGAACACAAGCATTATAAACCTTCCCCTAACAGTGGCCACCCATAAAAATGATCAAGTTAGAAATCTGGATGAACCAGCAGACAACCAGGGAAATACTGTGAAGGCTTTAAACTTGGGGGACAAGGAAGAGGTGACTAAGTCTCAGGCAGTCTTAATTTCAGATCTTCAGAGCTCAGAACTGATGGAGATCCAAATCACTCAGAAAAAGAAAGGATGGAAAAGAACACCAGCTTCTACAAGTAGGGCCAAGAAAGATTCTGAGATAGAGGATCAACAGTTATCTGATGTTGTTACCAGAAGGAGGAAGAGATTGGAAGAAGGTACTGAAGTTATTGGGGATTGCTCTGAGGAAATGAATAGAAATGGGAAAAATTTGAAGGATGATACTAAAAAGGTGGAGGTAGCCAGCCTAGAGTGGCCCCACCTGAATAAATGAAGCTATTCATGTGGAACTGTAGAGGGTTGGGTGGACCCTCTACAGTTTCCCTATTCAAGGAGTCTTCTAGACTTCACCATCCCAGTTTTGCTTTTTTCTCAGAAACAAAAAATCAAAATAATTTCATTAAAGTTGTTTGTAAGAAAGTGGGTTTCAATGATAGGTGGTTTGCAGTAGAGCCTCATGGTCTTATGGAGGTTTATTAGTAGTTTGGAGTAGTGAAGTCATTGTTAAGCAGGTTTTTGGGAATGATTTTTGCATTCAGATGGAGGTGGAGGGAGTTCCTGCTGGCACAACCTTGTGGATTACCTTTGTGCATGCCAGTTCAGATAGGAGGCAGAGAGAGTTGCAATGGAGTTTTCTGGAGGATGAAAAATCTAAATGGGGACACACTTGGATCATTGGCGGGGATTGGAATGAAACATGTGATCAAAGTGAAAAGAGAGGTGGCAGGAAGAAGCATGATAGGGAATTCATTGATTTCAACAATTTTATCTCAAGGATGGGCATGCAGGAAGTGAAAATGGTTGGCCATAACTTCACATGGGGAACAATAGAGACGATGAAGGCTTCATTGAAGAGAAAATTGACAAAATCTTTGGGTCCTTTCAGTGGTGGAACAGAAATCAAAATGCTGAAGTTTCCAGTATATATAGAAGTTCCTCGGACCATAGACTTCTAATTCTCAATGATAATACAAGGGTTGTGGAAAAGAAAAGGCAGAGGTTTGCTTTTGACAAGAGGTGGCTGAGTGTGAATGGTGTGTCTGACATTGTCCAAAAAGCATGGAATGAAAGCCAAACTGGCACACCCATGTTCCAGTTTTCAGAGAAGATTAAGGCCACAAGAATGGCTCTCCACACTTGGAGCAAAAATTTCAAATCAAATGATGATAAGCAGAGAGCCCAACTTACTGAAAAACTGGAATTGATGAGCAAATCAGGAGTTAATAGAGACTGGGAGGCCTGGCACAGACTGAAGAAGAATCTTGACATTCTGGTGAATAAAAAAGAAGTCTATTGGAGTCAAGAAGCTAGAAAACAGTGGATCAGAGAAGGTGACTCCAACACTCGGTTTTTTCATGCATCCACTATGCAAAGGAGGAGATCTAATGCCATAACCAGATTAGTAGATGATAACAACCAAATTTGGATTTCTGAGGAGGGTCTCAAGAATCATATTTCTGACTACTTCAAAAAGCTATTCTCATCTGAAGGCTCTCATGGAGGGAAAGATATATTACAACTGCTGTCTGTCTCAATCTCAGATGACACCAACTCAGATCTTATTGCTCAGGAAACAGAAGCTGAAATTAAAAATGCTCTTTTTAGTTTGGCTGCAGAGAAAGCACTGGGCCAAGATGGTATGAACCCCCTTTTTTCCAATCTTTTTGGCCTGTCATCAAAGAAGATTTTTGCCTTGCCATTCTTAGCTTTTTTGACTCTGGTCTTCTTCTAAAAAAACTGGAATCATACCTTAATTATCCTTATTCCCAAATGCTTAAACCCCTCCAGCCTGAAGCAATTTATTCCCATAAGCCTGTGTGGGGTTTCCTACAAAGTAATTGCCAAAATTCTAACTGTTAGATTGAAAGGGACCTTAAATTCTAGCATTAGCCACAACCAGGCTGCCTTTATTCCTGGTAGACAGTTGATGGATAATGTGGTTATTGCCCATGAGGCTTTACACTTTCTGAATAGGTACAGAGTGGGGAGAAAGGGCTTTATGATGGTTAAATTAGACATGGAAAAGGCCTTCGATAGAATGGAGTGAAGCTGTGTGAAACAAATCCTTACTAGAATGGGTTATCACTTCAAATTCGTAAACTGGGTTATGGCTTGCATTTCCTCTACTTGCTTCTCTTTCAATCTGAATGGTGGTGTCTCTGAATTTATTTCAGCTACTAGGGGAATTAGACAGGGGGACCCTTTGTCCCCCTATCTGTTCATTTTAATTTCTGAAGTTCTTTCTAAGCTGATCAATGCTGAAGTGGGTTTGGGGAGATTCAATGGATTAAAAATGGCAAGGCATTGCCCCTCTGTTACTCACCTGCTATTTGCGGATGACACCCTAATTCTATGTGAAGCCAATATCAGTCATGCCCAGAAGCTTTTATCCATCTTGGACAGATATCTCAACTACACTGGCCAGAGAGTCAACATGAGCAAGTCTTCTATTTTCTTCAGCAAAAATCTCAGTGATACTACCAAGCTCTCTATTTGCAGTATTCTAAGGGGAATCCAAGAACACAGATCAACAAGATATTTGGGGCTACCCTTGGGAATTGGGAGTTCAAAGAAAGAAGCCTTTGAGTTTGTGTTGAGTTCTGTTAGATCAAAACTTGTTAGTTGGAAGAACAACCTGCTATCTGGTGCTGGTAAAGAAGTTCTTCTAAAGGTTGTTGTTGGAGCTTTGTCTGTGTTCACCATGTCATGTTTTTGTCTTCCCAAAAGTACCTGTAAGGATATTGAGAGGATGACTGCTAGATTTTGGTGGGGGAAACCTGATCAGCAACATGTATTGCACTGGAAAAGATGGAGTCTGATGACCTTGCCAAAATCTGTGGGAGGTCTGGGGTTCAAGGACATCAATCTATTTAATGAAGCCCTTATCTTGAAGCAGCTGTGGAGAGTACTGAGTCAGCCCAACCTTTTGGTCTCAAAAGTGCTCAAAGGGAGGTACTTTCACAGTTGCTCTTTGCTCCAAACAAAAAAACTCTCTAATGCTTCTTGGCTATGGAGCAATTGGCTGCAGGTTAGGGATAAATTCAGACATTGCTTTAGA